GTCTATGGACTCAGTACTAGAACATGGTCTTCACGCTCCCTCTGCTGCATTTGCGCGACAGGTCAAAACCCTCCGGTATTATCGTGTTTCCTGCACCTCCTCTTCCTACGTGGAAAACTGGGGCCACTTCTTTCTCGCGTCGCAATTGGCGCTCCAGCTCTTCGTCGAAACTGAAGATGGCCCGTTCACTATAGCTGTGTACATTGCCAGCGCCTGTACGGCCGGTAAAACGCACTTGCGGTCGGTTATTCAGAGCAGCGGCTGGGCCTGTGCTCGTGGTTGATTGGCTTGATGAGACTGTGGTCTTTTTTAGAGATATGACATTGCCGGCGCCACCACGAGCAGTGTGCGTGACGGGACGCGTGGTGTGGGAGATGGAAGGAAGAGGTTCAACCAAGTGGTAGGACATGCTTGAAATATTGGGTCCTCTGGAGTTGATTTGTTCCGAAGGTCTGACTTGTTATTTTGAAACACTTGAGAAATGGAATAAGGATATTTTAGGACAGCGATAGCCACGAATAATAAATAAATAATAAGAGAAAATGGGTGCCGCGGTTTAAGAGCAAAACAGTTTCAAATATTATTAACAAGCTTTCAACAGCATTTTCCTTCGAAGTCAGCAAGCCAGGTTTGTTCGCTTTTTATAGTCGGGGCCACCAACCTCTGTTCTGTACTCCGTACCTGGATGCTCTCCGGTGAGCGGCAATGCGGGGGCCTCAGACACCACTGGGCTCGGCGCTACTCTCCAACACATCACAAGGCCCAGCCCGAGCCTGCCAACAAAGTTCGAGCGCAAAAATAGAACTACCTGGACACAAAAGTGTCCATGGAATGAAGTTACCGTTCGTTGGGCCGCCCTGGTTGGGACTTGGGTGGCGCTTCGCTCCCTCGTCTCAAGTCCTGCTGTTGCGATTGGTCGCCAACCCTGTTTCTGTTACGAGGCCGTGGACACACCAGCCTCCATTAGCTGATGGCTCATACTCGAGAAAATAAAAGCAGCATTCCCGCATTCCCAGAAAGCGGATGGCGCCGTAGAGTCTCATCAAGAAAAATGACTTTTCACCGTCATTTGGGTGGACGATTCACCACGCCGCTTTAGTTCCCCGCAAACCGAATCCATGAAGGAAACGCCTCGCGACTCTCAGCCGTGATTCACATGAGTTGCTGAGCTTAAGAGATTCATACTAAGAAATCCAACAGTGTCCGCTTGGAGGGAAACCGTAAGCGGTAGCGCCCTTGTGGCAAGTTACTTGGGTATTTGAGTTATGACAGGGCACTTTTTCTGGCCGAGAGCTGGCGTTGTCGCAGAGGGCCGAAGCAATGAAATCATTACTACTAATAGTTTAACCATCAACTGACAGATCTCACAAAGACCTACTGTACTTGGTATTGGCAATTTTACAGAGCACGGAGAAGTCGTTGAATGGATCAAGGCCGAGAACTTTGGGGTAATGCTTTGCAACCTGCAAACTACTGTGATCACTGCCAATATATTTCCTTTTCTTCAGGCTAAAATTATAAACAACAGCCAAAGCTGCACGACTGCCGTATATGGTCAAAGGTCAAGCCCCTGGAAGAGATCTGTTCGTCACGAGGATATGTTTTTTGGCGGGTTGAGTTCTGAATGAAATATTACTCAACAATAAAGGCTCTCCTCCACTTTGATTGGAGATGCTCAGTTGATGGCATCCGCTCCCCAAAGGAAATAGCGCAAGCGACGGGACGACAATTCTGCGAAGGATGCTTATGCTAGTTCGGCACAATCCCCTTTTTGGTGCCACGCATAGACCTGCATCATTCTCGGGCCGCTGGAGCCATTCTCAACTTCGTTACCAGGAAAAAATACCCCCTTTGAGCCTTGCGCCATTTAACAGTCCCAGTAATGATGAGTTCAAATCCTGAGCATCTGTCGCAATGAGCATAATAATGCCAGAATACTACCCAGCGGCAACCAGGTCAACATCCAACAATCCAACATGAATACTCCGTAGCCAATTGGCAATGCCCACGACCGGCGCTCGTCTACGGACAACAAAAAAAAAAAAAAAAAAAACCAAACGTAAAACTTTCATACCATCATCGATAATGAAGCAGGCAGGCTGCATCGCTGACATTAAAATTAACCTAGGGAGAAAAAACAGACTTTATGGCTAGGCGGTGAAGGAAGATATTTCGAGAAATTAGATTTATTCAGTCTCGTAAAATTCCTCTTGGATTTTCTTGAGGAGAGTGAGATCATTGACGAACAAGTTAGGTCGGTCTATACCAGTATCCGTCTCCATATACTTGAATGCCTTGCCTCCTTCAGCAATATAATAGAATAGAGGAGCTATTGCCAATGGGAATCTGGAACCGCAAGATGATATTGATTTACTAACTACTGTACAAAATCACTGGCCATTTCTGTGCCCCTCAATTCAATTCCCATCAGGTGATACTTTCCAAACAAACACAACAAACAATGGATGCTCTATTCTGCCAGACTGGACCGCCTTCAAACCTAACCTCATCCCGTTTCTTCAGTTGGCTGGCGCAACTGCATCGTTATTTTCCACGAAGATCCATAGGCTGGGACAGCGCCCGCTATTTCCTGCAGTATTGCAATTTTGAAGGTCTACTTGTATACTCATCATCAGCTTCCAGATTGCGACCAAACAAGGTCAGGCATATTGCAACAACTCTGTCCTCAGCTCGAGCTGTCTTTGCGCAGAGAGCAAGCTACTAGTATTCGGGCAAGTTCGACGGATGCGCGTTTGCTATCTTGTTTGTTTATACACAATATAAAGGAATACATTTGTTGGGTGGTATATACAGTTCTTAGAGAAGGGGAAGATTCCCCATAGCAGGAATTGAGGCTTTGGTGGCAACTTTCAACGCCCGCAATCAAAAATGCCGAAATATAAGTCGTCCCCATTTTATCCATTTCCAGAATTTCTTGGTCATAGAAACCGCCTGCTGACATCCTCTTTTACTCTTCTGTAGGTTTCCTCGGTCGATTGTCCTGCTGTATCGTTCAATGGCCTTTCGTTTCTACCCTCCCGATGGATTTGATTTGACAGAATTACCTGAGGGATCGGAAAATGTCATCAATGTTAAACAAATGAATTACCTAGGGCGA